CCGCTGAGTTCAAGCTTTAGCCGAATTGTTCTCGAATGATACCATTTTTGAAACTCAAAATTGTCCCAGATGAACGTGGAGTTCAACGAACAGAATCGCTTGCGTGATATCACGGAAAGGTAGTTCCACATAAGCAAACTTATTTGTATGAATAGGTGTATTCTATAAGGCACTGCGCTTTCCACGTATGCTGTAGCTGTACGCGCGTTCTTTTCAGGGCAACACAACGCCAGAGTTTTTGGTGAAATTTGGTAATGAAGTACTGCGCATAGACTCGTGTGGTATGAAACTTCTGTATGAGTTGACGCTTGACGTTTTACGTGGTAACATGAATGCTCACCTGGAATGCAATCCTGTGCTGAGGGATGTGTTCGATTTGGGCCCAGTGATCAGCCAGTGCTCGGTCAAAATGAGCAAACTGCAACGGGTTTGTGCTCTCTGCCACTGCGAGTGGTGGAGTATTATTTAATAAATTCTCTGTTATAGCAGTTTCTCTTCCTGCGATTTGAAATGAACCATGGGATTTCAGGTTGCCATGCAAAATGCGGCCAGCAAGAAAAGAAATCAACAAAGGCAGAAGCAAAGATACAAACGAATGGTAATCGACTGACTCAAAATTGTGCCTTCCGTTCGTTTGAAATGAATAAATTATTTCATTGCGCCTGAACAATGTTCCCTGCTGAACCGTGAATTTTTTCGAAGTCTTTGTGAATGCCGCCTGGTATGCAGCTGCAGAGTAGTGCGTCCGTGACGCATGCCACAGATTGAAGAGAAATCAAAGTCAACAAAAACACAAACTGGTCAGCGGAGCGATTTTTCAAACACGATACTGTAAAAGTTACCCCTGCATGAAACGCTGTGCCCGCTGATCTTGCTTTTCGTGCTGGATAACACGCCAATCGTCTCTTGCTGAACTGACCAAGAAATCACTGCGACAGGCCGACCCCCTCGTGCGCACCATACCTCTGTGGTAGCCGACTTCCGGTGCTACTTTCAGTTAGCTACGCTCAGGAACAACCGTCCCGCTACAGACAACTTGTCCAAATACAGCACATTAATCGAAACAAGCCAAAATTACACATCAGTTCAGCAGTGTGTGGGGTCAGCCGAAACAAAATGAAATTTTATTCAGCGTCACAAACAGACTTCCTTATGTACAGATTTACAAAACAGCAAAATATCCACAACTCTTGTTACCCTATACACTGACAGGTGAAGCGCGCCAGCCTGACCCGGGGCCCTGCCGGGAAGCTACAAATGCGATGTGCTGGAACAGTGCGGGTTTCATCACTCAGTAACTTCTGAACTGTGCGCATCTTATATGGACAAGTACAGGTTAATTGCCGGGCCGTG